TTAGGATCCATCATCAAATCATAAAAGGTAGTGGAGAAATTAAAGATCGTCTATAATTTTAAGTTTTATTAGATCAGATATTATGTTGTTTGAAAATAAATTAATTTAACCCGAATATGTACCTACTTCATTCAATTTATTTAAATCGTATGAAATTAGGTTTGTGACTCATACAAGAGCTTTAAGTTTCATTTTAAGGGCCGGATTTTAAAATTATTGGGGACCCTTTCCCTTGCGCTTAATTTAACCGATTTCTAATGACAACCATCTTAAAAAAATATAAATCAAAGTGCACTAGAAATACACCCCAGAAGATTCGGATTATTTAATAAAGATAACACTCTTATATCGATCTTCTAACGTTACTCGACTTTAAAAAAAACTTGATGGTTAGGGCTAGTTGCAGGAATTGCTTGTGAAGGCTTCAGGAATTGATCAATTTTAGCCAATTTATTCCTTCGTCGCTAACTGTTTCGCCTGTGCAGAGGTAAATTCTTGGGTGTTAGGCTGTCACCATGACTTAGCTGCATTAATCTCGAAATACAACTTCAGTCTAAGGTTATCGTATCCAGGACCTTCAGATACCTCCTGGACTGTGGAAGGTCTCACTAATTAACGAAGTGTTTCATGTACTTTATGTAAGAGGCTTCGGAATGTTATTTTTCACAAATGGGAAATGAGTGGAGTTGCTTTTAAATCGATTTGAGCTTTTGAGCATATCAAATTTCGTATTAAAGTCAGATTTAAATTATTAAAATTCATGAGTTACTTCTTCGGGTTGTTAATTCTTGTATATTGTATATATTGGTCCAGATTTTTCATCTATATTTACCCTCTGTAGACAATGATTCGCAATTTTCTTCGGCTCGGTTCTAGGGGAATACGGCTTTAAATGTGTTATCTCTAAATTTGTAGGAACTTTTTTGGCTTTTTGATTCATTTTACACTTTTGGTAAATTATTCAATAAACTCTCTTTTGCTTTTCCAATTGACAAAGTGTGTTATTTGCGTGCGAGGTTTGCATTACTACGCTAGTCACTAGTCAGCTAGTACCTACTTATTCGTGTTTCTCCCGCAATAATAGCAAAATAATAAGCAACAATGTTAACTGTGGTAAAATCTAACGAAATGCGTGTTCACTATTCACTAATGAAGTCACACAAAGTATACACGAAATAGCTTTTTTTACGAACGTTTTATCTCTTTCTTTAGTAACGCAAAATATGTAATTAATTAACACAAGCGTAACATTGAAGGAGTTTGCAGAAAATTTTCAATTTTTTTATAAACGAATTACATTTTTTGTTTTTTGCCGGGGCCTCTTTTAAGTCGGGGCCCGTCCTCATGGCGTACGTTTGAGACATTGCGGATACGCCACTGAAGATGGTCACGATATGATTCCAAAAATGCTATCTTCTGGCTAGATGCATGTTGATAAATAATCCGAATGGTGTTATATTAAATTGAATTGTAAGAAAGTCGATCGCTTTTCGATTGAGGCGAAAGTTAAATTAAATTTAAGTGTTGATTGCACTCTTGTAATGGGCGTTATGAAAAGGAGGAACAACGAATGTACAATGTGGTGAAAGGAAAGGGAAACTGAAGGAGTACTAGGGCCGTTAGTCTTTAGAAGAATTAACAAAGTATTGATGAAAATTGACGGAGTTGCAAATACCTGGTCCTGGAACTAAATTTACAAATGGAAGGTTATACAAGCTCTTTAAGAGAAAAGGAGGTACTTACTGAATTTCCTTCAGGGAGAGTTTAGGACTTTTTCAGATTAACAATAATCTGAGCTTGCAATACTTAAATGTATTTATATTTTAGGGTTACATAGCGGTTTTTAAAAATCATTCTACGCAAAGAACATCCGACACAATGGAAAACTTTAAAGTTCTACCAAATAAATCCCGAACAACATAGATCAGAAAGGTCTTTATAAGTAGATTGTATTGTTTCAAACTGAAACCTCATTGAAGAAACTTAAGAAGTTATCCAACGGGCTGTAACTTTTGAACTAGTAGCCCAATCTTGGAACTGTTTGAAATTATGGATTCTGCAGGCCACATTCTATAAGAAATTTTTTTCCGGGTCGATCTGAGACAATTTTTTTTGAGGGCCTCAAAAAAAGGCAGTGCATAACCTTCCTTTTTTACCAAAAGTTGACTGCACCAAAATTTCTCGGGAACACTTTTTTTTATTAATTTTGGTGCGTAGAAACCAAAACAATTCGTACTTTTTCGATCAGACTTCTCAATCAAAAGTTATAGACTAGAAATCAATTTCGAAAGAAAATTCAAAGGGCTGTAACTTTTGAACTAGTAGCCCAATCTTGGAACTGTTTGAAATTATAGATTCTACAGGCCACATTCTATAAGAAAATTTTTTTTCTGGGTCGATCTGAGACAATTTTTTTTGCGGGCCTCAAAAAAAGGGAGTGTATAACCTTTTTTTTACCAAAAATCGACTGCACCAAAATTTCTCGGAAAAACACTTTTTCTTATTAATTTTGGTGCGTAGAATCCAAAACAATTCGTACTTTTTCGATCAGACTTCTCGATCAAAAGTTATAGACTAGAAACCAATTTCGAAAGAAAATTCAAAGGGCTGTAACTTTTGAACTGGTAGCCCAATCTTGGAACTGTTTGAAATTATGGATTCTACAGGCCACATTCTATAAGAAATTTTTTTTTCCGGGTCGATCTGAGACAATTTTTTCTGAGGGCCTCAAAAAAAGGCAGTGTACAACCTTCCTTTTTTACCAAAAATTGACTGCACCAAAATTTCTCGGGAAAACACTTTTTCTTATTAATTTTGGTGCGTAGAATCCAAAACAATTCGTACCTTTTCGATCAGACTTCTCAATCAAAAGTTATAGACTATAAAAACCAATTTCGAAAGAAAATTCAAAGGGCTGTAACTTTTGAACTAGTAGCATAATCTAGAAACTGTTTGAAATTATGGATTCTACAGGCCACATTCCGGGTCGATCTGAGACAATTTTTTTTTCGGGCCTCAAAAAAGGGCAGTGTACAACCTTCCTTTTTTACCAAAAATCCCTCATCATTTACAATTACGTCGTTGTTTGTTTTTAATTTGCAAGAGAAACATTCCGTATTGTTTCTGCTTCTTGGTTATTTCAGTGGAGTTCGGGGGGCCATGTTCTCTGCAGTCTTCTTGTGGTTGGGCCATTGGTGTATAGTGGGTTTATTCGTCCGTTTGAGTGTTTGTCTCTTTGCTTGTTATAGGAGTTAGTTATTCTCAGCATTTCGGTTGTTACAAAGGGGGTCTTCAGGTGATTGTGGAGAGCAATCTCGTGTACCATGGACCATCTGCGGATGAGTTAGTTTTATATAGTAGGTAATATTTTGTTGTTCAGTGAGAGTTTTGAAGCCATTGCATTTGTCGGAATTTTATGTTTGGTTGTTTTCTTTTGGACCGGATGTGATTTTACCTTTGGTCTCTAGATGAAGTTCTATTCAGTGTTCTACGAGGTTAGTTTAGGTGGGGGTCATTTTTTAATTACCATAGCACTTGTTTATAAATGGAGTGTGGTCAAATGCGAGGTCCTTGTTGGATACTATTACACCGTCTTGTTATTCCATGTGTTATGTCCAGGAGGTCAGGGAGTTTTCTAGGGTTACTTGGCCAGTAAGGGGGTTCGTTGGTCTTCGCCACCGTGAGGTGGTGGTTTGTTGTATGTTTGGGGTTCTTGTACATGGTGTTTTTTTAGAACTGATTGCTTGTGACTGTGCCTCTGTGTATCTGTGTGTTCTAGAAGTACTGTTTCTAGCGAATACTAATTCCTTGTAGACCCTGCAGGGTGGTTATCGCCACACATTGCACATTTAGCGGGTGTATTCCTTGGTTTTTACAAGATTTTGAATCATAAGGAAGAGTGGTGTGTCCATAGGATTGGTACATTGAATTGGCTTTGATTCTTTTTTGGAGCTTCAATAGATATGTTGGTGTTTGGCACAGGAATTCTTGTTTGAAGATTTATCTATTATTTTGCTGGGGTTCTAGGTCAATGAAGAACAACGCTGGCTATGTTTCGCGTTCCCAAAAGACGCAGAACAACATGAAACATCCGGAAACGGATTATTTTTTCAATTTCCGAATATATAAACGCCTTGAATACAGCAGCCAAACTAGCACCAGTGCAAGTAAATTGCTCCTATAATCAGCTTGTCAAAAGTGCATGATTGCTCATTACAATTTCAAATTCATACTTTACATTTCAGGCCGAAAGTATTTTGAAACATTTTTTCATTATAAATAAATCCTAACGGAAAACTACGGTAGGCGCCAAATTTCATAAAATGTATCGTCCTGCCATCTTATGTTGTTTTCTTGAACATCGTTCTGCTTGTTGCTAATAAATGCAGGGCACTTCATTATTACCACCATCATATTCGCAGTCGCCACTCTTTGATAGAAAACTGTATCTAACGCATAGGATTCGATTCGGACAAGTAACGTTAGATGTCAGAACGATATATTTTTTAAATTTCAGGACCCACTGTAATAATCAAGACGGCATTTAGGCAGTACAAAGAAACAACATTACAAAAAACATAAACTTTAGCGTTTATAATTGGTTAATTTTTCATGTACCCAACAGTTGCTATGTGTTTACGCTGGAGAAAACTGATTTTCGTATTATTAAACCCCTCTTTCACTTATTTGGATCATTTTCAATTTAATGACATGCCGTACGTAGGGTGAATGGCTTCAAAATTTGAATATATACTTTAAAAACGCGATATGGTGTACGTTTGGAAAGTGTACCCTGGTGTGTAGGCAACTCGTCATACTCGATATCTGAAAAATCCGCCGTTTTTTTGGCATTTTGTATATATAGAACATAAAATCTCAAGTCGGAGTACCAGGAAGGATCAATTTTCAGTCTAGGAATGCAGTTAGGATGCTGAAGGAAAAAATTACCACTTCAGCAGCAAGGTTCTCTTATAGGGTTGATCATTAAAAAAAATGTAACAATCAATACAAATGCAATGTAATATTGTTTTAACAAAAATTATACAACAAACCAATGAAAAAGAAATTCATATTATTTAAATTGAAACACAAAATTAAGCATAAGGGTAGCAGCCTTAATAGGAAACCACTAAGTAAAATAAAAATGCATGAGAAAAGTACACAAGTTTAAGCTCCCAACTGCTTATACAGAATGGGAACATAATCATCATACTGTGCTTGATAGAAATTTCCAGCGACCGGATTTCCCAGTTTGTACTTCTTGGCAAAGGCCCTAATGGAAAACTTTCCCCGATTATCGCCAGACCTAAATCAGACAAAACATTATCAATATGTAAAGCAATTATGCAAAGTCTTACCGATTGGTTAAACGTTTTTCATCAAATGTAATTTTGCCATCCTGTTTATAAATTAAGAAAACATAGCGATGTAAACCTGGAAAAAAGACAATGAGAACTGTTACAGTATGATATAAGACACACCTGTTCCCTGTGGGGGTCCCGATCCAACATATTCGGAAAGATTTTCGCCTTTGGAGATATCATCGCCAGGAATGTTTGCCACAAGCCAATGATGCCACTCCCTGAAATCCGGTTTTTGGCGGCTCGGTGCATCAGGATCTGATGCAAAATAATTTTAAATTATTGTGATGTTCAAAAGTAGTTCACTTGATGATATTAAGAAAGCCACGAAGTGTATTACCTGTCATGCATAAAGTGTAAAACGAGTTAGCATATGCAGACCATTTCACCGAAGGAATGTCCTTAACTTGAGTAGGTGTCAACTCGTTACCTAGCTCAACATGTACTCCGCTGGGGTAGTGCACCTAACAAGAAGAGTTAACGTATTGGTTTTAAGGTAGCTAGTCGCTCACCTCGGCAACTTCTTTAGGTGCTACATCAATAACATCGGGAACTACACCTTCCTTCTCCATTTGTTGTGTAATTACTGAGAAAAAGCGTTTAGTAAGTGCCGGCCTTCGAATTGATAGTAGCATTTGTAGCTAGGGATTATGGGTTACAAGTTCATCGAATTTACATATTACACCTAAATTAGCCTTATCACTTACCAAGCTTATCGTGAATTTAAACTGTCACTTGGCAACAAACAAAAAATTAAAATAAGGTTATGTTATGCAAATGTCAATTGTCAAAGTTCAATAAAATTCCGTATCTAAATTTAAACATGACTCTTTACAAAGAGCATGTGTCGTTTTCAATAATGTACAGAGTTATTCAAAATAATGTATCTAATTTAATTAATAATTTGAAACTGAACAATACACAGGAAGTTTTTTCATCAGTTTTTTATTGCCCTAGGATAAAGTGGGGGAATTTCAACCGTCTAAGGCTAAGTCTAACTTACAGATGAAGAGTCAGTGACCAATTTTAGGTTGTCATTTCAAAAGTAATGAAAATTCACACAATAAATTTTAAGGAGGGTAAGAAATAAGGGCCATTTTGGTCATCAGTCATAAAATTTTAGAAAATTACTTTCGATAGTATTTTAAATTCATATAATTTTTGAGAGACCACTGTCAATGTTTATTTAAAAAAATATAATTTGTGTTATTTCATCAATCTTGAAATTTTAACAGAATAAATATGCAGGACATACCATGTGTCCAAGATCGTCTCGAAAACCGTAAAAGGTACAAATTCTTATTATTGAACCTACATTAAGGGTATGATCGAGGACCTGACATTTACATTTATATAATTTTCATGTTAGAATTCGATAGGAAAATTACTTATTTTGATCTTAATCTCATTAAGTATTTGTTACCTATTTCATAATTAACACAAATTGCAAAAGAGAGGGTTTCGAAAGTAATTCCCCTTATGTGATGGTTTTTTCAGTCTGTCTGTCTATCCGTTTTAGTATTTTAGTCGCCGTCAACAAGGCCATTGAATTATTGACATAAGAAATACATTGTAAACTTCAAAGCAAAAATTCAAAATTATCTTCCACATAAAATACCTACTAAGTATTTGGTATCGCCGATTTTGTAATTTTTTTCTATCGAGTGACATTAAAATCAATATGGCGTTCATAAGAAATAAGAAAATTGATGTGATTTACTCGAATCCCACAAGTAATCAATATTTTATTTTAGTACTCCCAGAAAGCTGACAAAAATCAAGAGTGAGTTTGAGTATTTTTTTATCCCTTTTCGTTTTTTGGACATAACTTTGCTATTTGTAGAGCTACAAGAAATTATGAATAAGATAATTAATCAGCATAAAATTTTGCCTATTACACGACTTTGTATCTTTGTGTTTACGAGAGTCCTATAGTGGAAGTGAAAAAAAACTCACCCTGTATACATTATACTTGTGTTAGATATAAAAAAAAAGTACCTACCTTAATACAAGGTTTAACAAAATCATGAACAAAAATGATGCAATTAATGAAATATTCACATATTAGGTAATTAGTTTTGTTAAATTTAATTATAATTAAAAATGTAAAGTGAAGTGTACTCGGGAGTCCATTATTAATAATGGACTCCCGAGTACACTTCACTTTACATTTTTAATTGTTGAAGTCCGACATGAAATCTGAGAAGTATGCCTGAAATCAGTGAAATCTCGGGAAATCCATGAAATATTGATGAAATCCATGAAAATTCATGAAATCCATGAAAATTCATGAAATCCATGAAATATTCATGAAATCCAAGAAATATGAAATTTAGTGTCCATGATTTTGACTCGTGACCTACTCCTCGTAGTTCGCCTAGCCAGCTTTGAACAAAATGCTCTTTGGTGCTTAAATCGAAGGTTCGACTTTTTCTATTTTGGTCACAAAAACAGTCAACTCTCCAAGTTATGAGCTTGGTAATATTCACTTCATAATCTGCTTTAGAGCAGTGGCATAACTTCATTTTAGGGGCCCGTCTTCAAACATATTTCCCTTTCCCTTACGCTTAATTTAACCCCTTGGATTTCTAATGACAACCATCTCACAAATATAAATGAAAGTTCACTAGAAATACATCCCAGAAGATTCAGAAGGATAGCACCCTCATATCGATCTTCTGACGTTACTCGACTCTGACCTTTTAAAAAAACTTGATGGTTAGGACTAGCTACAGGAACTGCTTGTTGAAAGCTTCAGGAATTGCTTAATTTTAACCAATGTATTTCTTCACTGTTCAGCTTTTTTTTTTGCTTCTCTCTTAGAGGTCCCACTTTGGCATTTTCGTTCGCTTTGAGATGTATGATTTCAAAATTTCAAATACCTTTGGCGTAGGTATATACAGGCAGTTCACAATGTCACAATTTTTATATCAACCATTTTTAGACAATGTTAGTCTGTATATGTAGGAAATAGTGTCTTGATTTAGCTTTGCTGATTTTGCATTTTGAAGTTCCTACAGGCCCTTTGTAAAATTTAGTATCACTTTGTTTTCTGTGTAGTTTTGAATCTATTTGAGCTGGCTTCTATTGAGCATATCAAATTTTGTATTAGATTAAATTCAGATTTAAATTATTCAGATTCAAGAGTTACTTCCTCGGATTGTTAATTTTTCTATATTGTAGATATTGCTCCAAATTTTTCACCTATATTTACCCTCTCTGATCCTGCGTAGCTCAGATGAGTTTACGTTAGTAGCTCTAGCTCTGGCTGCAAGGGTCCTGGGTTCGAATCCCAGGTAAGGCATGGCTGTTTGTAATTGTATAGTGGGTTGAGTGGGAAGAATAGCTAATTAGCTAACACTCCGCCCACTATAAAATAAAGGCACTAAAAAAAAAATTAAAAAAAAAATGATTCGGAAGTAGTTTCCCATCAGATAAGTAGGAAGGCAGAGGGATGCAAGTGGATAAATCCGGTAAATTACAGCATTAGTATTTAGTCTTCAATTTTGAAGCGTGCATCAGTTTTACAATTGTAAATGTCGTGGAATTGTCTTACCATACGAATAGAGCTCAGATTTAGCAGGACATTTTTGTGGCTGTATGTTTCGTACTTACTTTCGTGTAAGTAATTTAACTCGATAATTGTGATTTGACAAACAAGATGTACTTACAAAAAAAAGTATCTAAGATACGCCCAGATACAATGAAAAATATATTAGTCAGTCTTCAATTTGTATTCCGTGTGCCACTTTGTGAAGCAATATCATGCTATACCTACATCAACATTTTCGTAAAAATGTGTAGATTGCGAATTTCGATGGGGCGTACCTCTCAGGGCTGGCCGAAAGGAGAAAACAACCCCTATGCAAAAATACATATTACGATAAAAAAATAGCTAAACATATTTTCCAAAATGTATGTATTTGCTTGAATCTGTATGGAGCAAACCTGTAAGGGGTACCGGAGGGGAGAAAAATCCCCTATCTAAAAATAAATGTTGCGATAAAACATTGCTATAAATATTTTTCAAAATGTATTTATTCGATGACCTATTAAGGGGCGTACCTCTAAGAAGTGGCGGAAGGGAGAAAACTACCCTTAAACAACTTTAAATAGCCCCTATATAAAAATAATGATGAAAAATAGCTGAAACTATTTTATAAAATGTATTTGTCTGCTAGATTGTCTATAAGGGGTACCAAGAAAGGGATGGACAAAAGAAGAAAAGAATGCTTTATATTTATATTATATTTGCATAGTTTTAACGAAACAAAGTTACTATTTACACCTTTTTTTATTCAAAAATAGATTTATTACTCGTTGTCGAAATCGCTATCCACTGCATCGTCAGAATCAGTAGTTTTTTATCTATTTCAATGTTTGAACAAAATTCGGGAACAGCCTCACATTTGCACATTTCCGTACAACGCATTTTTTTGGGTTAAACATTTGCACCTTTGAGTACAATTATTTTTTTACAAGAACATTTTAAAACATTTAGTATTTCTTCGGGTGCGCAAGGAAGAGTATACATAATGGGTTCAAATTTTTCGTTGTCCAATTTCCAACCGTATTCCGTTGGTGGCGGTGGATTCGGCTGAGCATTGAGTAATTAAATATTCACTCAACGGGCTGAGTCTGTGTATCCCGATTCCATTCAATACATTGGTAGCGACATTTTTGCATTCCAACCGTATTCCGTTGGTGGCGGTGGATTCGGCTGAGCATTGAGTAATTAAATATTCACTCAACGGGCTGAGTCTGTGTATCCCGATTCCATTCAATACATTGGTAGCGACATTTTTGCATTGCCGATTTTAACGCTGCTTGAGTTGGAGGCATATTATCAGTGGAAACTTGCCTCTGTGCAAACAACCCCCATCTTAGTTCTGCTAGACTTTTAAAACATTTTTATGTCTTACTAACCTATCATAGCACATTTTATATCTGTGATACGCGGGCATAAAGTACCACTTTATGCCCTAGGGCATTAAGTATCACCATAGTAACTCATTTATATTTAATGACAAAACAAACAAATATTTGCAGGTCATTGAAAACTAGAAACGTCAATTATTAATTGTCAATACCTACTAAATCACAAGATTGGCCTTATTTCTTATAATTTCTGAAACTTCCTCCTCATTCACAATGAATTGAATTATTTAAAATTACGTTTGACGTTTGGATGGTTTCAATCACATTAACAAATTCGAACCACGCATACTCGATCAAACACAATGAATTATTTTGTAAACGAATTTTGACGAAGAAAACTATTTGTAAAACATAAAATTGTGTATGTACCACGGGCATAAACTGATGTTTATACTCTCGGGCGACTAAAAAGCTCTCGGGCCATAGGCCCTCAAGAATATAAACATCACTATTATGCCCTTAATACATAAACAACTAATTTGATGCTGAATATAAAGAACAGACAAAAGCCTCGATCTGCTCAAAATGTTACATCTGATCCTGAAAGGGGATGAAGACCTGGAATGCTCCAGCTTTGAGTGGTCCAAGAGCCTCCTAAATTGGTTGTAAAGGCATTTCACGACTGCTAGAACCAATACATATAAACATGGTATCTTTAGGTAATAATGGAGCTCGTCTTACAGCCAATGAGCCAATAACAAAACATCTGTATCTAACGAAAGAATTCTTACTGTCTTTGCTCCCCTTTCAGATGCATCTAAAGAATGAAGAATCATTCTGGTATCGACTTCTTCGTGTGAACTCTTTAAGTGGTTCATATTGCCTCATAACACAGTACAAAGCACCGT